TCGTGTCGCTGCTCGACAGTCCTCTCGGAGAGAATCAAGAGAGCGGAGAGCTTTTTCAACACGTAATAAGACTCTCGCCTTGTCAACGTTGTTATGGGGCTCTCCCTACGGACATGTATCTAATTATTGAAGATGAATAACACAGGAGATATTATGGAATATTGTAACGATCATTGCATCACCTGCCGGAATTCGATACGCGCGGATTGCGTCATCTTCCGGCGCCCCCACCCTTCCCCCCGATCTGGACGGTTCCGGACTATTCGCGAGTCGTGGGGAAAGGTGGGGCAAGTGTGTACGTTAGTCGGTGTAAGTAGTCGGAAGTAAGCAGCCGCGAGTCAGTGTATGTAACCAGTCAAGTAGTAAACAGTCAGTCCGTCAGTGTGTCTGAAGTGGAAGCTGAGCTGCAAAGTATGCATTGCGGTGACAGTGGTGCAGTGGGTGAACAGCAGTCAGCAGTTTGAAGTCTGCAGTGGAAGCTGAGCTGTGGAGTGTGCATCGCGGTAAACAGCGCAGTGGACACTGGTCTGCGCAGTGAATTGTGGTCGATTGTGGTCTGCGCAGGGAACCATGGACAGTGCATCGGACTGGGTGATACTGTAGAAGAAGTGGTCAGTGTAAATATATAATCAAGAGAACGGAGTCGTGTGTAAGAAACAAACAAATAATCAAGTGACGAACACAAGGACTGTGTAATATATCTGTAACTAGATCAAGTAGTTTTAGCGTAGAATTCTTTATAAATAAACGTTTTTGTTAAATATTACAAATGTGTTTTAATTCACAACAGAGAAACGTTACAATATAAATAACTTAGGAGATATAATGACGCCACATTATTAGCCAATGTTAATATAATATACTCGAATAATGTAGTAGATATAAGACTATAATTAAGTGTAGAGTGTATGTATAGAACATAAGGTTAGTTACTTACCCCTTACCTTACCAGACTGACTGTGTAACCAAACACAAACGTAATAAATCCATTGTAGCGTAAATCCGTGGGAGAACTATCGCGTGTTAAATTCCACCTTCTTCCCTATCTTTCCTTGTCCATATTCAGAGGGGAAGTTGTTACTGAAATGTGTTTATTTGTTTAAAAAATAAAAAGAATCAAATGAACTTTCAGAACTTAAAATAAAAATAAAGAACAATGGAATTGATGTTTGAAACAAATTTTGAATGAAGTATTATAGACATGCTCTTGGAACAATTCACTCACTTCCTTAAAAACATTTGAAGTACAATTATATAATCTTCCTTGACAGCTTTTCGCTTTCCTTGATATTCACAAAGACATTATAGAAGATTTTTATTCTTGAGAAAGCTATGTAAATATGTCCATGCTAAAATACCGAATTGGGCAAACACAATCCTACTCTTTGGAATATTATGTAACTTCATTACCGAACTGAGAGGTACACCTGTGCAATATAATCGCCTAGAATATCAAGTAATTATTTGACTTCACATACAGTTGCAGATTCTGCACGTCTCTGAACAGATGGGGTAGTATCGAGAAGCGCCGGAGCAGCAAAATGTAATAAAATGTCCAAGAACATCTTATCCGGTAGATTACAGTATGAGAAACGTTTCTATGAGGTTCCAAGTTTTAAGGCCCTCAATCGCTTCGTTTAGGTGATATTTAACTATACACATGTTAACAATGCTGTACAGTGTGGTGGGTTGCATTTGACATTAATTAAATGCGTTTTTTAAACAAATCCTCCCCATTTTTAAAGTCAAAATGCAATTCTTCACGTCTCCGTGAAATTTTCTTACTTCAGAGGCGTCATTTATAAAGATTGGTTGCATATAAATGTCTCAAAAGTTGTGTACGTATACTTCTGAAATCCTATAGGAGAGATAGTAGATACGTATACTTCTGAAATCCTATAAGTGCTCATATAATTGTGCGGTACGAGAGCAGAGAAATAGGACTTTTTCTAGAGACAGTAACCCAAAATCAGTTTTCAAATCTGAAAAAAGGAAAATGTAATCATTAAAATCTCTAGAAAACTAAAACTGAACAGCGCTTTAGCAAGCAGCTCAATAGAAATACGTTTCCTGCCTCGCGCCACCTGCGAGCGGATACGCATGTCGCAAGTTGTAGCTTGAGACACAACGGACAGGAAGCTATGTAATCGAAATCAGCGGTTCAGTTACAGGCAGGGCTTGGTTTCTGGCGTAACGCAACGGAACGGCGTTCCGGTACTAAAAAATACTTAATCATTAAATCATATTATTATAAATATATAATTATTTCTATTAAATTAATAGAACAAATTTAGGGCGCGTTCCAAGCCCTAAAAGTTTATACATCAGCCACTGGTTGTTGGGAATTGAATGAAATAATTCTTGCGATACACGAATGAACGACTCGATCAAATTATTTAATTGAAACCTATTTAATCGTAGCGCAACTTTTCAAAACACTGATACTACAGTATGTATCGAATCTGAATATAGTAATACCGAATTATTGATTGTTAATCAGAATAACAAATAAATGAAAGGAAAGATGTATTCAACTCCTAAATTAATGATCAAGATTACTAGTCGGCTAAAAAAAAATAAATTACTTATTTTGGTTTTTCCCTCCGATAATGTTTAATAATAGGAACATGTTTTAAAACCCACCTCAAATTAAATTATTTTTAATTAGAAACTATATTAAAATCCACCTCAAATTATGTTTAGTTATGAAGCTTCTTAGCCGTGTAACAACTTCATGCAAAGTAAGAATATTGTTCACTAAACAGACGGTGAATCACTATAATTTTGGTGAAAATCGTCTGAAGGTTGACCACATTGTTCATGACTAGTGTTGACCGGCGGACAGGCCGACAGACAAACGTTTTGCCATCAATAAATTTGTCGCTGTCAAAGACCCGCAAAACGTGGGTCAAGAATTCACGTGTTAGAGAATGTAATTCACTCTATGCATAGAAGTAAGATTTATCCCGTTTTTCGTTTCCAGTACCAACAATAATAGTTTTTCTGTCGAAAAATTGCAGACTTCCAACGCAGAATTTCCGCATTTTCTCTTTTCTGTGTTAAAGGAGTAAGGTGAGAAAGTAAAGATAGTTAAAAGTACCATCTGTAAACAAAGCGTTGAATGTATTGTGATTTTTGGAAAATCAAAATAATACATAATAGTGTTTATGAATGGGCAAATTGTTTAAGCTCGCCGGACCTTCATCGGTTTGAAAGACTTCACTGAATGATAGCCGTCTCAAGCATTGAGTGAAGGACTCGACATAAGAAACTTCCTGAGAACTTTCATCCGTTTCTGAAATAGAAGGCGCGCTATGAGCCCTGTTCTGAACTAGCTCAAGTGTATCCTTGTACTTCTTTCCGGAAGTCTAAGTCGCCGCAGCGTAAGTGGGCACGGGCCGGTCGCACGTTTTATCGTGTCAGGCGATGGTCCGAGGGGAATGATGGTTCCCTCCGTAGAGACTGTAGAAGACGAACCTTTTCCAGAAGTTTCGATCGAGTTCGCCTAACATGTAAGAGCCAGCATGTTCTTAGATAGAAACTGACGCTCTGGTAAGTTGCCTTAGGCGTCCACTTCAGCTTCTGGGTAAAATGTTTTGGCGGCGTGAACGGCTTTGCGTCTGTGGCGAGTATCACAGATTGTCCACGATTTTCCCATAGTTCCGTAGTAGAAAGTTAAGTGGTTCCGCCCACTTCAGCGGCAGGTCCACCTATTTTGAACTACTTTGAGTTTGTGGTCTAGGTTAATTCCTCTTGCTAAGACGGCTACGTCGTCAACGTAGAAAAAAAGCCGTATTCGTGATATGTCGTTAACATATAGCGAGAACAGTAGCTGGGAGAGGACGGAGTCCTGTGGGACTCCAGGTGCAATTCTCCGCTTTGAGGATCTGGCTTTGCCAACATTTTCCCGAATATACGGTTTTTGACCATTTGATTCACGTAATTATTTCAGATAAGTCTTCCGGAAAGCCGCACCGAAGTTTTGAAATAAGGGTGCTGTATTGCACTTTGAAGACTTCTACCATGTGAAGATAAATGACAGAGACCGAGTCGCGCCGAATGACATCATGCTCGTCGATTAGTGCACGGACCGTGAGTGATGGATCCACACAAACGCACACTCGGAGTTATTAAATATAGTTAATATTTTAAGAGTAAGCGAATGCCGGAACAGTACCCTAACAAACGGACCGCGCGCGATCTTTCCTACCTCTTCCTTGTCATATCCTCTCCACTTACATGCACTACACAAGCACACTTGCCGGGAGCTTAGAGCTTGTTTCGCCTGGTGGGAGATACCTGGAACAGGAAAGCCCCGCTTGCCGACGGTAGGTCGACGCCGGATCACCACCATCTCCCGAGCAAAAACATGTACTTCACTTCCGGGACTAATGACCCAGGTAGTTGACATGCCCGGAATCAATAAAACTATCAATCAATTCATATTTTCAGACGAAGAGAGAAAATTGGTATTCTCCTCGTAGTCTAACGACGCTTCGGCCACCGATCGGCGGTGTTCTGCACTGCAAGTCGGTGGCTCTTATCTACGCAAGTTGCGGGGCAAAAATGCACGGGGCCCAAATTTGAGGCATAGGGACGCGCGACTTTAGAGTAAACGCAGTGAAAGAGCTCAAGAGCGTGACATCGGTGCAGTACTTGGGAGACCACAAGACACCAGCGAGAGCACTTTCGGGTGCTTTTTGTTTTCAAAATGATTTCATATACATTAACATTGCTTCAATATCTCTAAAGCTGCCACTGTCTCAAACTACATTAACATGAAGTGACAGAGATAAAACTGTTATAATTGTCTGATTCAGATGAGACTGTATAGTTAGTTATGCTTAACGGTGTGTAATGCTATTTATGTAATAATGTATACTATACATAAAAACGTGTACTTATAAGTTAAGAATAACATTGTACATTATAATAGTAATATATTACTATCTTCACCTTCTTATTCAAATGTGTAAGAATATAATTTTCAAAATCCATTCACTACCTTTCGAAACTTTCTAAATTTGAAATTTGTCTTCAAATATAACACAAGGAAGTGTATTCAAACCCTTCCGCTCCTTGTACAAACATAATAAAAACAGAAAAAAATAAGTATTTAATTTTGTCTTAAAGGGTGTATATCTTAACATAAGAAGAAAATATATGGAAAGCATGAATTTAAAACAATAAAAATGTTTTATTGTAATCATCAATAATCATCATTATATTAGGTATCACTTTGGCAGGTCTCTGCTCAAAACCATTACATCACTCATGTTTACAGAGATGACTTAAAATCAATAACAAATATTTCTAAATAACTAGTGACTTGCATCAGCAGAAACAAAGCCAACCTAAATTAAAATTGAGAAACATAAAATCTATTTGCAATGTATGATTTTATATTTCGAAATTTCAGGTTTAAGAGCTTTGAAACGTATATTATAAAATGCTTCAATTTGAGGCACAATTGTCAAAAGGACTTGTACACATCCAATGTGAAATTCAAGATTTATAAGGAGCATTGGTCAAGGGCATGCTTTCCAAATTCTTACATGGTCCATACACACAGTAGTCAGTCCATTACAATAAAGGTCATAATTCTTCTTTTTCTTTTTTGTCCCCTCTGTCACTTTTTTCTCCTTTGTTCTTCAATTTCACATCTTCCTTCAAACAACGATCATCTTTACCCTTTAAAACACGGTCTGAACATAGATATGTTTTTAATGGAATTTCTCCCTGCCTCTTCCAATACCAGTTTTCAATGACTTGCTCATTTTCTTCAAGCAACGTTTCACACTACACATACAGAAAAAAATATTAGAAAATGTTTTCACTTCTAGAATGAATACTGAAGTAAAGGAACATCACTGATGATAATCACCTGTGATTTCATGTTTGTAATCTCTACAGATGGTTTATCCCATAGTTCATAAGGAATACCAAGTTCCACTTTCACACCTTTATCACTGAAACAATGTAAATGTACCAGATCTAGATTTAAACAAATCATAAGCAACTAAGTGTTTTGACACAAATTAATAAATTATTTTATTTGCTTTTGAAATACAAGTAATTTTTATTTTGACACCTTTTATTCCAATTAATAAATGATTTTAGATTCACAGACTCCTCACGGAACAAGCCAAAACTTTACAGAATTGGAATCAAAATAAGATATTAATTAATAAAACACAGGAAATACAATTCAAATTAATTCATCATTAATAGCTGCTACAATTTCTTAAATAAAGTGTTTTCATAAATTTGTTTTATAACAGAGGTAATATTTGATTATTAATTTTCTTTGGGACACAAAATATCTGAAAAATACGAATCTCAGAAAAATGCATCATCTGCCTGAAATGTTTGAAATTTAAGACCTCGTTCACTCTAACACAGAACCTATATGTTTCATGGAATGTACCGAGGATCATAATCCACCCATTAACCATTAATACTGATTGGTTAAAATTTTCCCTTTATATTTCAAGAACAGATTAAATAATCCTTTGTAATTTTCCATTATGAAAGACAAAATATTTTTTAAATTGGTATTGAAATTCCCATGTTGAACACATTTTATTCAATGAAAATGTCTAAATTTAAAAATGTGTTAAGCATACAGGCATCCCTATTTTATATAATATTTTTCCTGACAAAAGGCCTACTATATAACAGATTCCAATTGAGGAATTCACTGTAACTTAATACTGAAATTTTGCGAGTCAGCTTATGAAAATACTTTTGAATAAGAATTGCAAAAACAAAAAAAATTGGTAATGTTTGTTACTCCATCATTACACATTTTTAATTTACTGAGTATTACTTCACCAAACTATTTCTCCCTACGTATAATTTATCTTTTCTTTTTTACGTCTCTAATTTACTTATGATGATATATTTTGCTACAAATCCTTGAACACTAGTTATCCAAGAGCTTTTATTACCGAGGTTATACATGAGAATACTAAAAATATTATTCAAAACAAAATCTTGAAAATTCTTCTCTCCTCATTAATCTCTTACATGAAAATTATATTTTTCTTCTTCTCACTTCACTATACAATGGCTTTCAAGAATTCAAAATAAAGTTTATGAATGGTTACTCATCCAAAAAAGTTAATATGGAGAATTGAAAGGTAATTTTATAAAAATTATATCAATCTCAATATCAATGAGAAACATTTTCAATCAATTTCTGAAATCTACCAACATGTGTGTAAAATTGCTCAGAGAAGTGTTTTGAAGAGTTTTCAAATGAAAAATACAGTAGAATGTACTACAAAGACAAAATTCAGAAAATAACGTAATGTTAATTTACTTACACCAAGCCATGTAAAGTTTGGAATGTCTGACTCATACCCTTGGCGAAACGTGTACTATCAGATCTTTCTTTGTGAATGTTGTATTCTAGAATACGATCACAAACACCTTCCAATGATTCAATTAGTCTCAGTTCTCTGAAAAATGAAAATTGATATTTATTCTGAACAATTACACAATGAGAAAAAATGGTAGTTCTCCCCACCAACTCACGATTTTTGATATTTGGTCTTCTTTTTTGGTTTAACATCATCAACAGAATATCCTAGTTCTATGACATCGTGAGATTTTCCAGTTTCTTCCAAACGAGACTCCAATTCAATGGCAAGTATTTTACAAACTGAAACATAGGTATTATAATATTTCTTAATCTTCGTCGGAGACATTAGTCTAGCTATTTAGTATTGAAAATTTACCTTCACATTCATCGGCGTACTTCACACCTTCTTCCTCTTCTTTTCCGGCTGTCGATAAACTTACAAAAAATAATAATGTTATCAGAAGAGACAACAGACATTGCTTTTTAAAAGCCATTGACGTTCATTTAATCTCACTCGAAAAGTCTGCCCAATATTCTCCGGATAACCAAACCACTTATTCCCTAGCGTCCTGAAAATTATCCGATAAACCTAGTTCTCTATGCGTCCATTCCTTCATACAGCTAATCGTATTAAACCACGTTTCATATCTCAACCCGGGCCCCAATCAGCCTCCTCAACTGTACGACTACCCTGCTCCTCCCCACCCAGCTGTTAGCGAACCTTCAGCCAGCCTTCAGCGCTCCACCGGTAAGCTCAGATTCGTACGTTGGTACGACTACCAAAAGGCGCCCAATATGATCACAGATCAGTGGATACGACTAGACCCGTAACACACTACGCCAAGTAATGTTTCCAGAATTGTGCTACGAGAAACGAGGAAAGAGGCCATCAAGGCTGCGTCCACACACTATAATGTATTATAGAAATGTGCCATTCGATGACTCGAAATGTTTTTAAGTGCCACAAGCCGAGTGGTGACAGCAGTTAGCTATGAGATCAGCTGCGAGTCCCATTTCTTATTTAAAAAAAAATGCTTTTGTGTAATTTTTACCCGCGAAATCCTTAGATTACCATAATCGTAAATCATCTATTCGAGTTCAAATTGCTAAGAAATACATTACCGCAACTGCATATAAATCATTATTATATATATATATATATATATATATATATATATATATTATATATATATATAATATATATATATATATATATTATATATATATATATATATATATATATATATAAAGGAACTGTATGTGACGTATAGGGAAAGGACATACAAAGTTCACCTCTAGGTCTCTATGCAAATTTTCTTGAGCTCCGGTATTTCTACCTCACCTGTTATACAATATTCGTTGGTTGAATTATGAATAAATGCTAAATGATCAAAAACTTCATTATTGATGTATTAATGTATAAATGTGAATAAAGAAAAAATAAAATATTATTTCATTTCTTTCAAAATACCCTTTCAAGTTTCTTGCTTCAAATGTTTATTTTTATATTGCTCATTATGTACTGCTTTCTTACAAGAAATAATATTTTCCACCCAGGTTTTTTCCAGTTCATATCCATTTAGACAAAAAAATCTAAAAATGGTTGTTTATCAATCTTTAACTGGGAAATATAAATGCACTTGTTTCTATGCACTGTTTAGTGTTTTCCTGCAGCATTGAGTGCCACAATGTCATATAACAAATGGAGGAGTAGAAATGTGTCCGAGAAAACTTGCTAACTGACCGACTCGAGCTAGGAACACTTTCACCTCTGCAGAGGCGAACAAGAAACTCTTTCACGTGAGGTCTTAAACACGTTCACTTATCATGAGGGTCGATAAGTATTCTTTGATTCGATTTTCCACATTTCTTGTCACACATTCTTTGGTGTAGTCTGTTGTGGGTCTTAGGTGTATTAATTTTAATTTTCCACAATAAAATTCATTTATGTACATGAAATAAAGCATTACTAATATTAATAATAATTTATTAGTGACTTTCAGCAAAAGCCATGTATGTGAAAACAATATGACACATTCAATTTTTTTTTCTTATAACAGAGTTAATTGAGAGAAGAGTAATTGACTTTACTCAGATGAGGAATATTCACTGTACACAACTGCTGCTTATATTCTAAAACTCATTCAGTGGTATTTTCTCTGAATATTTCCCTAAGCGAGACAACCTACATGTGCCAAACCAGAACTTGAGATGATGTATTGAGAAGAGTCATGACTGATCACACAGGCACACTTCAAGCTGAACTGAGAATTAGCATGTACTGTTATAATGAAAGCTTCCTTTTTGTATTTGCAGATGAAAAATACTTCTTCAATAGGCATAGTAAATTAAATTACATTTTTGGTAAACTGTATTATCTAGTGCATATTCATCAGTGTAGACAATGTCTATCCAATGTGCTGCCACTGAGTTAAATTTTATTTAATTTGTTATGATGAAGGAAAGAAAATGGAATAATCAAAGTGAAAGCAACTTGGGAGGGTGAAGCATCAATCCTAAGTCTGAATTTGAAAAGAATTACCCAAATCGGACAAGTGACTAGGAAACATTTCAGATTCCTCAAACTGCTGATCAATTGAAAAAGACATGCTAAACCCACCAACCTTCTTAGTCTTTATTTAACATGCCTTAACTTCAAATCTGTTTCATCACAGTAACTATTATGGGAAAGGAATGTTTAGAGGAGAATTGAAGACCAGTAACACAGAAATATCTTAATGATGTCTGTTCAAATAATTTTGCAGATTTAATTCACTTCTCACTTAGTAGTACACTGACAGTCCAAATTGTATTTAAACAGTGATCCTTATTCTAGAGACATTTAGATTCCTACAAGAAATTGTGCTTTACAAATCATTGTTTCAATGCAAACTTCAGTTTTCTACACAGTTTTCATTGCAGACTCTGTTATTACACGATCTGCTCTTTTATTGTCATGGCAATTTTCACAAAGTTCTTGAAACAAGACACCAAAGATTCAAGAAGTGTTTGTTATAAGTATTTAAATGCATACAGATAGAACAACATTACGTCATTGTCAGGTATGGTATTTGAAGAACTGAAGAAAGAATACCAATGGAAGAAAAATAGTTCGTTCTTAGAAATATATCTGCCTTTGTAAGAGATATTTGAAGTACCAACACATTTAAGAAGAAAAACAATCTTTTTCTCCAGGATCTATAATATTTTAGTTTTTGTTTCAATATTTTGCATTGCCCCTACATGGAAACGGCATGCTTCAAAACATAGAAATTTATTCTGACTTGTCAGCTAATTTCCAAGCACCTATCCTATACCGAAGCCAAATGAGAAAAAGATCTCTTCCCATTTGCAACCAACTCCAAACTGGAACAACTTTTGAACCTGTTAAAAATGAAGCAATCTTATTACAAAGAACTGAGATACAGTTAACATGAAAACATGGGTCAATTACCTTCTATTTCAGTCCAATTAACAGCAATTTCTGAAATTGGAATTTTCAACCTTTCTGCAATGTACAGTAATTCTACATCAAAGGCCCTAAAATAATAACAACAATAATAAGAAGAAGAAGAAATAATCGACACAATTTAATACATTAAGACATTAAAGACGGAAAATGTATAATGCAAAAGCATTAGCATTCATAAATATGAAGTACAGAAATAATTTACCATCTTTCCACATGCATGTTGGCAAAGCACACTTTTGCTGCTTTTCGGGTAAGAAGTTTAAAACCACACTGAGTGTCTCGCAAACTGCGGACTGCAAAAAACCACACCAAGAAGTGAAAGCCATACATTAAGATAGTTCTGAAATAGGAACGACTAGCAATGGCTTCCTGTTCAAGATGGGCACGAGATCCACACACAATTGCAGCTTTACCAGACACATCTTCAGGATTTGAAGCATAATCAGCTGTGGAAAGAGCAGAATTTTATCCAGTTGAATTGAAAACATGTTTATTTAATTTATAAAATTCAGCTATTTGGAAAATATTTATGAGGGTAACCTAAAAGGAATTAAAAGCACCATTTGACACTCTGCTTCTAGAACAGCAGTTCTCAAATTTTCAAGAAAGTAAAGCCAATGTAACTGATGTTGGGATCATGAGGATATTAGTATGTTTTGAGGTTTTGTACCTTATGCAAAATACACCCAAATATTTCTTGAAGGTTAATTTCTCTTGATTTGGGGGGTCTGATATTCGAGAACAATTTACAATTCTCATAAGCAAGGTATGTTTATCATAGAAGGTAGCAGCAATTATGACTGAATATTTTACGATTCAAGTGTTTGAATATATACAAAACAACTTAAAAATCTCTTGAATTATACTCTTCTACTAATTTTGAACCAGTAAGAAGGTAAATTAAAAATAGAAAGGAAAATAAGATGTAATATTAATTTCAATATTGTTACATATAATTTGATATTTTATTTTGTATTTTTTACTTCCTTCAGAGTATTTTCTGACTTGTTCATTTTTATTATTTACATGGCACATACACATTCTGAAATATTAAATTACTTCAGAACTTAAAAAAAAATAAAAAAACATTTGGAAAATAACAAAATATTCAGGAGAACATTTATGTCCATTTAATGTACCACTGCCATACCTTTAGTTTGTTTTCTTCAAGCAATTAAATTTACAGAAAGGTGTGTAAGGAAAAAAGAATAATTCTCTATTAGTTGGGACATAGAAACTGATCTGGACAATGAAAGCACATTCTCCTAGGAAATTTTTAACAAAACTGTGAGCTTCCAATATTGTATAATATGCATAAATTGTATTACATCACATACCTCCAGTCAACAAATTGAGACTTGCTTCTAACTTTGAAAGATCAGAAAATTTTGTGGCACCATCTGCATCAGCAAACAGTATAGCAGCACCACGTGAATTTTGTATCCCCTGTAATGTTACAATTAAAGCCTCAAAAGAAATCTACAATCATCGTAAATTATGTTGTACAAAAAAGTAAATTTACAAGATTTAAGTGTTGCATCCTATAATTATCTAACAGCAATATTAATTCATCAAAGAAGCTGAATGACCTGAATATGCTTTCCATGATGAATAAAGTAACTTTCTTCCATTCTTTAAACCAAATATATTGGGCATCGGTACACTAACCAGTCTCACAGCACCACCTTTTCCTCGGTTGGTAATTAATTCCAGAACTCTGACAATATCAGTTCCATATTTTTTTGTGTACTCTCTTGCAACCTGGGCAGTTTTATCTGTACTTCCATCACTGACAACGATAACTTCATATTTAAATTTTGTCGGTCGAGACTGTAGATATTCCAGGCACTCATCCAGCATTGGAGGTACTGTAATTCATAGGTACATACAATTTATGTCAGTTTCAGAAACATTAAAATGAAAATATAAAAATACAAATTACTACAAATACGAATTATACTCAATGAAGTACTAACATCGCACTTCTTCGTTGTAGGCGGGTACAACAACGCTTAAGTGAACACTGTGTGGATCGGACAACGTTGGGAAGTTATGTTTTTCTCCTGACACTGGATTTATAAAACATTTTTCCTCTTTTGCTCGATGAATAATTGGATAAGGTGCTGTGGTGATAATAACTACAATGCATACCTGAAAATACAAGTTATTTAAAATTCAATTGAAAATAGTAAATTATTTTTATCTGTCAATACTCACCGAAATGAAACAAGCAAACGCAATAAAAACTCCGTAAATAAGGAGAGTTAAGACATTGAAATCCATTATTACTTCAGTCTCTCATTTTCAACGTCACCGAAGATGCCACGCATTCACAGTACGTGCAAAACACACATGCTTTTATTCACCATCAACACAAAGGTTATGTGAGGGGGTACGTGTCACTTGAACTCGCACTTGCAGCCAGCGCGTCTGTGTGGACGTGTGGGACCTGTGGTGGGAGGTTCTCATGACTCGCGGCCGGTGGATACAAAACAACGCACCATTGAGACAAAAAGCGCCGGAAAAAAATAAAGTTTTAAGGGAAAATGAATACAAATCCTCAACTCATGATAACCGAATACTAGAACAAATATAAGCAGAAGTAATTACATATAAAGGGTAGATTTAGTTACATGATATGTCTAAATTAAATTTATAACGATTTATTATTTTCTTTTTAAATGATGTTTTTTTATTATTTTATTTTTAAAACGAATATTAAAATTTAAATGATGTTTTAATTATTCTGTGTCAAAAAGATTGGGTTAAAGTAATGAAGAATGCCACATTTCATCTAAACATGGTACACCCTCATTGTATCCTCATTGTATTGTATCAGCGAAAACTCCATTTTACTTCAGAATTTGAAACAGGAAATACAGATATTAAATAGTATACAATTAATTAGACAACATGATTACAAATTGACAATTTTCTCCAAGACAAGGAGGAAGACAGTTTGTTCAAAACTCTAGAAGGGAGAAAATCAACAAATGGAACGAAGTTTCTATTGGTCACACAAAACTGAAACAACCTCAAACATTCTTGGGGAGATTTTCTTTTGCAAATCCTTCATTTGAACATTTCGAACTGTGGAAATCAGAAATATATATAAGGGAAAAACAATTTTCCAACAGGGGCATCAAACTCGCAGTAGTGGAGGAAGACAATTCTCAGCATCACCATTTTGGTCTCAATATCCTTAGATTATTTCATTGAAATGAACACAATTTTAATTCTGATGTCTGTCGTAGTCTATAATTCTACAAAAACCTTAAAAAGTTGAAAATACTTCACTTTATATTTCAACAGGTGTAATAATGATTGAAATTAATGAATTATGTATGTGATTGAAATTTTAAATATTCCCTGGTAAAGCATTGAAAATAAAAGTTGTTCATCGATATTGGTATTTAAATAAGACAATTTTTAAAACTCAATTTTGATCATTTTTAACGACAATATTAGCAGCTCCTCTTATTCCTAAATTATCAATAATTATTTTTTTCCAATAGTTATTCTGCTATAAACCTGGCTACCTTCAGAACGTATGAGATTAAAAAAAAAATTGTGAATTCCAAACCGACATTTTTTATAATTTCTTTCAACACGTTCTACTCTACTTCTTTTCATGATTTTAGTTGCTACTAATGGTGATGATGAAAAAACTCCCTCTCTCTCTCCCTCTCCCTCTCCTTCTCGCCCTCTCCCTCCCGCCTTTCTCTCTCTCGCACACACACACAACACGTACAACGACGCTCGCATACTAACTGCCTCGGGAAGATCATAACACACACCGTGTGTAGAAGAGGGGCAAAAAGAGGTATTTTCATCCGGTATAGCCAACTTTACACAAAGTCCGTATCAAATGTACATATTGAAACAAGCATGACATTAAATTAAAATAAATTCCTCAAACATTATAAATGATGTATTCAATGCCAAGAATTAACTAAACGTAAACATTTTTCAATAATTCACGAAATTCAGTTGCAGAAGACAGAAAATTGGTATTCCTTTCGAACTCCAGGCCGGCCCCTACACTTTGCTAAGAAGTCAACCCCTACCCTTCGCTCTGCGGTCTCAGTTGGTGTAAAAATCGTGTTCGCAACGTCTCATTTGGTGTAAAAATCGTGTTCACCTGACCCCTTGCGGAGTCTCTTCGAACAGTGGGCTTCCAGTGGATTGTTGTTTGATATTTTTACTCCTCTCCCCCGGACCCCCCTCCTCTCCCCCGGACGGGGATCGGGAGCCTGAGATGTTGGCGGAAGGGTCAATTTATCCATGGAGAGAGGGGTTGTTTTATTAAGGTTGTGGATGACGGGGGTGGGAAGGGACAGGACCGGGATGGGAGGGGATAGGGTGGGGTAAGAGGGAAGAGGTGGACAAGGATTTAGTCAAAGGAGGCGGCGGAGTATTGTTGTCGACGACATGTACAGCGTGTCAGTCATTCTGTCAATTCGTTGTCGGTTTAATTTGTCGTTGTTTGTTTTTGCCCTCTGGCTTCGGTGATAGGAGGGGGAAGTTAGATGATGTCTAAGGGATGCTTTTTCCGGTGTGTCGGGGTGGGTTTCTGAGGATGTGGTGGTGAGGAAGGATTAGGTTTCGTAATATAGGGTTGTTGACGTATTTTTGGATTTGGGCAATTTCGGTGTTGTGGAGGTGTGTAAGGATGTGGGGGTATTTTGTTTTTAAGTCGTATGGAGTTGTAAATGATGTACATGGGTGGGCGGAAGATGAGGCGGATGTTGTGGTTTTCCACGCGGGTTAGTTTGGTGCGGTTGGTGGGGGATATAGCGAACCAAGTGGGATGGGAATATGTTAGGATAGGACGGATATAGGAGTTGTAAGTTTGGATTTTCTCTTGGTGGAAAATTGGTGATGGGGGATTGGTGAGGATGGGGTATAAGGTATTGATGATCCTGGTTGCTTTGACAGTAATTTTGTAGATGTGGTGGGACCAAAGGAGCCTGCGGGAGAAGGTTATGCCAAGGTAGGATATTTCTGGTGTCCAGAGGATTGGTTCGTTTCCAATGGTTAAGGGAGAGGGGTTGGATGGGTATGTTTTATAGGAAAAAAGGATTGCTTGGGATTTGGATGGGTTTATGATAATGGAGTTTTGGAAAGCCCAGAGGTGGAAGTTGTTTAGGAATTCTTGGAGGTAAGATAAGGCTCGGTTTAGAGAGCGGAAGGACGCTAGGAAGGCAAGGTCTTCGGCGTAAAGGAAAGTTTGTACTCCTGGTGTTGGTGGAACGTCATTTATATAAATGTAAGAAAGGATTGGGGATAGCACAACGATCTGTGGGACGCCGGCTTGGATTGGGTAATTGGGAGAGGTTTTTGATAGGTGTCGGATGTGGAAGGAGAGATGACTTAAATAGCTTTGTAGTAGGGTGTGAGTATTATCGGGGATGTAGGGTCGGATTTTCATGAGAAGGATTGGATGGGAGACTGTGTCGTACGCTTGGGTGAGGTTTATCAAAATGGCAGGGATTTCTTTTCTATCTTGTAGTGGGATAGCGATGGCTAGGGAAAGGTTTTAAGTTTGGAAGGCCGCCGAGCGACCTTCACGGAAACCAAATTGTATGGAGGCTATGTTGGGTTCGAGGAGAGGTGTTAGACGAAGAAGTATCTTTTCAAATATTTTGCCAAGGATGGTAGTATGCTGATGGGACGGTGGTTAGATGGGAGCCGATGATCTTTGCCAGGTTTGGGGATCATGGAAACGCGAGCGATCTTCCAGATGGTGGGGAAGTAGGACAGTCTTAGACAGGAGTTGAGGATTATGGTAATCAGGTCTATTGCATTTTTTGTTAGGTGGGTGAGTTGAGATGGGAGGACTTCATCGGGTCCGGGCGATTTGTTGCAGTCTATCGTCTTGAGTATCTGTTTAAGTTCTGCGTCATTCGTCGTCAAGGTCTGTTGTTGTTCGGGTGGTAGAGGTAGAGTATCAAGGAAATTCCAAAGAACACCATTTGGGATTAGGTTGTTGGGGAGGGGGGGAGGAAGCGTTCGACCAGGGATTGGGTGAAGGTATTGGTGATGGTTTGGGGGTCAAAAGTTAGGGTATTGTTGGTGGTTAGGTAGGGTAAATGGGAGTGGGATGGTTCCTGATTGCTTTTATGACTTTATTAGTGGTGTTTGGGCTGCTTTTGTCAGATAGTAGGTCGTCCTACGTATGTGTCTCGCGATATTTAAGTAGGTTGTGAATTGTTTTTTGCGTTCTTTTTAGTCCTCGTTGGTCGTCGTCTCGTCTGTATTTTTGTAGTATCGTCGCTGAATTCGTTTATGTCATATGATTGTAAGGATTTCGTCAGGAAGGGTGGGGCATGTATTTCTGGAGTAGGATGTAGTTTTACGATATGCTTGTTTTATGTGGTAAGTAAGGTTATCTATGGAGTTTTCTATGGATTGGGTGGTCAGGATATCTGAGGGAACGTGTATTTTCTTAGACAGTATGTGTTTAACTTTTTTTCCAGTTGGTTTTTGGTATAGATGGGGCTTTGGGAAGCATGTAGTTGGAGAGCTGGTGAAAAGTATTGGAATGTGTTCAGGTCGTGCAGGTCGTGGGGGATGGTTATTAAAATTTGGAAGGACTGGAGGATAATATCCAGGATATCGTGGGGAATATGTCGAACAAGGTGGGTAGGTTCAGTAAGCACTTTTATGTGGATTTGGGGGTTTCTGTCTATGAAATGTTCTAGTCGTAAGCCAGTCCCGTTACTAGTCATGCAGCCCCATGAGGTCGATTTACTATTGAGGTCGCCTGTGATAATGAAGGGATAGGGAAGGTTTTTAAGGGTGTCTAGGTTGGAATCGGGGATCGGTGTGTGTGGGGCTTTGTAACAGGATATCAGAAGTATTTGAGATGTGGAGGAACTAATAGCTATTGCAATGCATTTTAGGACGGATGTTGGAGGGAGTTGGTAAGAGGTGTGAGGGATGGATCGTCGGATGAGGATTGTACTCCCTCTAACGGATGAGGTCCGGTAGGTTCTTGTTGTGGTGTAGTTAGGAATGGAAAAGTATCTGTCGTGTGTCAGCCTCGTCTCTTGCAAGAATAGTATCCCGATGGAGTAATCTTTAAGTAATTGGGTGAGGATAGGTTTTTCTGGTTTTTGCCGCCTCGCGCGTTCCACGAGGATAGGGTTAAAAGTTTGGGAGGGGGAGCCATTAGTTGAGGATTTCAACTAAATTGATTCATGCTGTAATGAGTTTATTGATGTTCTCTGGGCCTTTAAGGATGTCGAGGAGGGGTTTTAAGTTGAGGATTATCTTTTTCACTGTGGGATTTTGAAGAAGGGAGAGAAGGTCTTTTATGTCTTGGGTAGTTGATTGAGTAGGTTGTTGGTGGGTTGTTGGATTTGGCTTGGGTTGGTGGCTGAGGGTAAGATTGGTTTTGGGGTCTTTGGGGGGAAAGATTTGGAGTGATTTGGTTGGGGGTGGATGGCTTAATGATTAGGTCTTCTGAACGTGTCGTTGTTCTCTGGCTTTCACTGTGAAG